GTAATTTCATGGATTTTATTAAAATATAGTTTCTGGAACTGTTCTCTTACAGTTTTAAAAACATTTAAATACCATGCTCTCAAAAAGAGCATTTATACAAAGTCTTATATTTACAATATAGACAGTTATGATCAGGTGTTAGTAAGATCAACTCTTCCATGTAAGAAGAAATCTAAGCTTATGCGCTGAAGATTAATGAATGTGTCAGTGTTTTGACTTGGCTTGTAAACATATCTGAAAACAGATGTGGATGACTGAATTATCACTTAAAAGTAGTTGATTAGGAAAGACTACATCACATACAAAAGTTTCGTTACCTCTAAGGAGGACAAAACAAGCACAAAATTTGCAAATTATTTCCACAAGGCTACACTGCCCATTCTGTAACTCTATGCATGACAGATGCCAATAGCTGCTTAGAAAAAGACAATTTGCCTTCAAAGTGCCTTAGGGAAATAGTATGCTGGGTTTGTATTGGCACAGCATTCCCATTGTTTAAAAAGGAATTATTCTATCAGTAAGACAAAAGTTAGTGAAAATTAAAATGACTAGACAAATCCTACAAAAATTAGTATCTCCATAAACCACCCAACACTTCATACTGAAATTTCTGCTCGGTTTTCCACTTTAGAAAACACCAAAAACACCTACTAAACCTCTCTTAAAATAGCTTATCTTTATAATTGGAGAAAAAGGGAACAAACGTTTTTCTACATACAAATATTTAATTCCATGCAAGATGGAAAACATGAGTGCACAATAAACTTCATTTTATACCTAAATAATTTATAAATTAATCCATTAAGAATAAAGCAGGGTCTATAGCAATTATATTGTTACATTTTAAACACATGCAGATGAGTTAACAGCAACATTTTTACATAAAGTTTAGTGCAAGAATGTGTCTGCTTAATAAATAGACTAAAGATAACTATGTAATGCTTCGAGGTGTACACAATATCTGTGCACATAATAAACTGGTTCTGAAAAGTTGTCCTTGTTTGTCTATAAACTACAAGTGCCCATTTTAAATAAAAAAGATCCTTAATTACTCATGGGCTACTTCCCTGTGACACATGGTGTCACAAACGTTGTGGTGAAAATGTAATACTGAAGTTAATCTAGAGATTATTTTTTTTTTTATACACAGTTTTTATACAATCAAGAAAAAGAGATACAATTTGTATCAACAAACAAAAGGTCATTTCTGGTTATTTGAGGCATTGCTCTCAGCTGCTTATACCATGCAAGAGAAGAGAATAAGAATTAATTGCAAATTAAAAATACAAAATGCTAGTTAGTAAGAGATGTTTTTGAACTGGTCAAGAGTTTAATCTGTTTTCCCCAACTATTCTAAGTGTCTGAAGATTTATTTTTTACCATCAACAGTGATGATAACCAATTAATTAAAACTTAAGTTATTTTTAAACACCAAGTTCAAATACAGAATCACCTTCAAGTTAACTCATTTTAAATACATAATGACATGGTCATTATATATGTTACCCATACCAGCACAAGAATATTTATCCTGTGTGAAATGATACGGTTATCAAATATCAATAAATTAACTGTAGTTGCACCTGTAATTGTGGTTTGTTGTTGGTTTGGTTTTTGTCTTTTTTTTTTTTTTTTACATATGACAGGAACATATTTCGCACATGATAAAGAGCCCACGAGATATTTTGAATCAAACCAACCATTACAGTAACACAGGTGGAGGAAATTATATCACTTTGTTCCTCAGACAAACAGATAACTAGAAAGCAGCATGCAAGCCATTATCAAAACACCAGAAACAACCCTGACTGCAGCCTCACGTTCTGTGTGTTTCACAGTAAGAAACATTTAGGCAGTGTCACACCTTCTCATGAAGAAACAAAAGGCCATAAACCAGGCCTTCTCAACTTTCATGAAAAAAAACTACAGTAGAAGTCAACAAGTCCTAGCTCGAAACATATCGAGTTAGTAATGGTTCGAAATGTTGAAATATACAATGGATTCAAAAAAGGGCGTCCAGTCAGTGCAGCTTAAAAAACAATAAACGCCTCTTTTGGAGACATTTAGCTACAAAGGTTCCCACCCTGAGCAAGATACCAGTTGCGCAAACAATGCCACACAAAATTATCTCACCTGTTGAAACAGGAACTCTAAAAGCCTTCATGAGGCAAATGCACACCTTTGCGTGGATCTGAAGAGCAAAAACCAGGCCAGCTTTGCCACAAACCCAAACTGTAGCATCTCTTTTCAAGAAGCAGCCCTCCTCCTCCACCCCCTGCTCATGTTGATCCTGTACAACCATCTTGAGTGTTAGGCTGACTCAAACGCCCTCCCTGCCCCCAGAGGAAGGGCTGTAGTTACTGATGAACTTCCATCTGAACATCCAGTTTCTGCTGCTTCAGGTCGAGTAATCCAATTTACATAAAACGGACAATTTACTTTCAGCTTGTCAGTCATCTGAGCCAGCAGCTGCTTACCACACAGTTGAGAGACAATTCTGAAGAGAGAAGCTACAGTTAAACGTCTTTTAGTTTACTGAATGGCGCTCACGCCCTCACGCGCCTTAATATTTTGGTCCTAATTTAATAAAGTAGTTGGCTTCTGTTGGATTGAGCCAACGTAGTGGACAATGTAATAGATACTCAAACTCTTGGGGCCCAGTTTTGAAATTTAAGTACCAACACCACTGTTGACATTCAGAAGCTGAAATCAGTTTTTCCTTTTACAAATTGAGTGTTTTCATTTTTGTCAAGTTTGCTTTTTCTTCAATATTTAATATGCCAGTAGGCAGTGTCAAATGACAAAGCTGAAACCCTAAAAGTCATCTGGGTGTGTCTAGACCATACTTTTAAAGGCCGATTAGATATTTATAAGCAAATTGAAAGTGTACACCAATACATGCAATATAATTGCTAACAATAATTTTGTAGTAACAGCTTTGAGACACTGAACGTGACATTGTAGTTCTTAATGAGCTATCCATGCAGCAAGGTATGCATTTCCTGTAAAATACTATTAAAAATCCCTATATTTAAAATCTTAAAATTTACAACACATCAACTCTTATCTAGTGCCTCAGCATATACATGATTGCTACTGTGTACAGAATTTTATACTATCTTAGTAGAAAATATTTACAATAGATTGGGCCCTTCCTTCTTCATTTAAGTTACCCTCCAGGTGCTATATGCTGTATAGTTTCATTTATCCAAAAGAGGCTGTAATGCTTTAACGCCCTGTTCTTAATTTGGCAACAATCATAGCTGCCAGCTGCTGCGCATCTGTCATGTGGGGATTCTTTTCCATCACAGAAAGGACAATGCTTGGAGGGAAAATATTGCAGAGGTTCTTGTATGTTTGATACTGATGTTCTGGGATGATATGAGCTTCCCGTGGCTCACCGCATATCCCAATCCAGGGATTCCTCCAGAGTTGCTCCATCTTCTCAGGCATGCTTCTTACCATTACAGGTTCATAACATGGCTGCATGAGGTTGTTACTCAGCGGATACGAGTGATAAGTATAAGAGTCGGATGCACATGGTAACGGATCCCAACTGGCATGCTGCTCTCGACAGAGAGGCGGTCTTCTCTGCCTTGTAGGGTTACTTTCATAAAGCCGCGAGTCAGAAATACTGTCCATTCGTGTCATGACCAAGGCACGGCTTGGATGTGCGGTGGATGGATGAACATTTTGAGGCACAGGGTATTCTCCTGGACAACTGGACCGTGCTCCAACAACTGGATGCTGGGCATGTAGGCCTAAGTGGGAAACTGACTGTTTGCGAAGGGATTGCTTAGGCTCTTCAGTTCCGTAACTCTGAACTCTATTTAAGGCTTCATGGTAACCATGGGAAAAAGGCTGAAGACGATTTTGCGATGGCAGTCTGTGGATCTTCACATTGTCTTCTGGACTGGCATCTGCTACACCCAGATACAAGTCATTGTAAGAGGAATAAGAATCATTACTTGTATGGCTTAAGCAACTGTCAGGACAGGGGCTTGAGTTTCTAGAATACATCCCCTGGTCCATATCAGCCCCGTAATAATCTGTGTTACGGATACTACTTATGCTCAAGTTGGAGAAATCACTGAGTAAGGAGTAATAGCCATGGTCCCCCAATGAGTCATATTTGGGATACTGGTCAGTATAGCTAACTGAGGTGCCATGGCTATTGGTAACTAGTATAGGAGGATATTGCACACTGGACATATGTTCCAGTGAGGATTTCTGATGCATGAACTGTGAGGAACCTGGCACCGGACTGCTTGCAGAACGAGTATTTAATGCACCAGCTGCATGGCTTTTTGGTGGAGGGAGCGTTGGTACACTTAATGCAGAAACCAGAGACGGGACAGAGCTGGCCTCAGACTTCCGGGCTACTGATAACTTTTCCTCAGGCTCCACAGCTACTGATCTAATGCTTGGATCTGACTGACGTTTTGGGGCAATGCGTTTCACTTCAGAACTGATTTCTCCTTTGGAGCTGGATGGCCCTGTGCCACATTTGGCCAAGGCTCCCTCACTCATAGTTTTCACAGCAGATAATTTGGCACTTATTCGAAGCTCATCCGCTACTGACCTTTGAGGCTGGTTTGCCCGTTCTGGGTGGTAATATTTACATTTGTGCCCATAGGTGCACTTTTTACCTGGAAGAAAAGTGTTTTCAAGTTAAACAAAACCTAATCAATACTACCAGTTGCTATCTTTTTTCTTTATATTTTTCACCACTTCTCAATAGTAACATTTCTATATTAACCCCCTAAGGAATAATTATACATATTGTATATACAGGCAGTCACAGACTCTGCTACCTGTATCCACATATATCACTGCATCAAGGGCAAGATACATCACTTTTCTTCCTGCTAGCTCATGATTTCAATACTGACAACATATTCAATGCTATGTAAAACAAAACAGCTTTAACACAGTTGGTAGAGTTAAGAACCTCCTTCCTTGCATACAAACCAGAAGAAAATAGAAAAAAGCTGTGTTATCCACAAGGTATATCTGGTAATCCTTAATTTTCTGCTACATTGTTTTTATTAATATGTGTATAAAAATGGATATAGTGCTTGGATGGCAACATGAAGAATGGCTTGTTTTGTGGGTTTTTTTTCCAGTAATGAAAAGATGTTAATTAATCGCTTGCTTCACCTACCTTTGCGTACAACAAATCAATCTGACTTAGGCACTTACCATAAGGACACGGTTGTTTCTTATGTTCAGGAATAACTGGCCTTTTCCTTAAGAAATTTTCAAGGCTTGGACCATGGCGTCCTAAAGGATCATCAGGAGGCATAAATCTAAGGGGAAAGAAATGAAATGTGAATTTCAGTTTTTACTGAGGGTTCTGAATTAGCAAATTCCATTACTTTTGAAGAAAAACCCCATACTTGTCATTCACAAAAGAATACATTAGCAGTCGCTCTTCTATGAACTTCTTCCATTCTGGTTTTTCATTTTGAAGATCCCGATAGTTGTCATTTGATACAATGATGCCATCCGAGTCGAAAGCAAGTTTTACTATGAATCGATCGTCATAGCAAACTACTCTTCTTCCCTGAACTCTTCGAGACGGGGTGAAAACAAGAATTTTTTCTTTCTCCAATTTACGTAAGATTTCTTGATCTGTAAAACAATTTTAGTTGAGTAGCTTTAAAAAAAATTTTAAAGAAATGCAGCCTTTGAAATACAAAAATTCTTGCCCTCTTTTCTGATAAAGTATTTTGTAATTATGTTAATATATGGTCCTCATTATCATTAAAAACCACCTGGATGCAGATTGCCATTTTATTTCTGAGGTTTCAAAGCACTGGGTAAATGCTCAATATTTAAGCTTCATGACCACTCTAGTCCTCTGTAAACAAGCATGTACCTTTACTCAATCTTCCAGAACACACCAAGAACTCAGTTGTTACTGTATTACAATAGCTTCTTGTTAGCCTAGAGTAAAACATAAGTACTTTCTATGGGTCAGAATACATGCTGCCTCTTCAGTGTTCAAGATAATCCTACTAAACAAGTCCCTAGCCTAGCACTACTTATTTTATACTCACTCAGCAACTAAGAATCAGTTCCTATACACTTAACAATGTTTGCTGATGGGAAAATTATTACTACTTCTCAGAAGTGTTGAATCTGGTAATGTTAGAAAAAAATAGCATTCAGGTGCAGATACTTAAATGCTTGTTTCCTCACCACTGAAATTGTTGTGTTTTCAAATGAACAGTTAAGTGCAACATCACATCCACAGCCCAGTACGTAGTACCCATCAGAAAGCTGACATGGGTGTGTCTTAATGCAATACTTTTTTTTCTTTTTAACCAAGGGGTCAAAGAAAACCTTGATCTGGTACCTGTAATTGGCGCATCAGGTCGAGACTGTTCTTTTCTCCATGCCGGTACAAATACAGTGATATCTTTATGTCCTTTTTCCAGAAACCAGTCAACAGCTAGTTGAATTCCCCGACAGGAAAATCCTTCTTTATTGCCATGGCTGAAGAACATGCAAAAGTTTTAGAAACAGCAAGGACAAAAAGTTACATTTGGTTTTAGTTTTTGTTGTGGTGGTGGTTTGGTTCGGGTTTTTTTCTCCTAAAGCTGCCGTGGTCTAAGGATATAAAGGAAACAAAGTCTGTAAAGATGGGTAAACCTTTTTATTAGACCAGCTTATGTAATTGGAAAGACAACTGTCCAGAGCTATTCAGCCACCAGATTACAGCAATACTGCTACTTAAAACTCTAGAAATGGTGAAATGTCACTATCACAAAAGTAAAAACAAATAAACATGAAGTTTTTCCACTTTTTAATTTTATTAGCTGAGCTAATGAAAAATATCACTTTCCCCAACAAATTGAGCTTACCTTAAATAGCACCATAAAAAGTTATCAATAAAAAAAAGGAACTAACTAACAATGCTAGCTGTCAGGGGTGATATGTGCTTTTAAACATCTAGGTTAAAAAAAAAAAAAATTCTCTAATACTAAATGTTCTGCATTTTTTATTAGGTCTTTTTAAGGGAAAGAAAGAACTCTCAAAGTTGTTTAAGCCCCACCTCCCTCAAAAATTTATTTTCTGAAACACACAGGGGTCTAAAACAACACACAATTCAGATAAAAAGGTTTAATTTTCAAAATGGCCTAAGAAGTTTCTGCAAAGGAAAAAAGAAATTCTTTAGAGGTTTGATAGAAACTAAGGAGAATCTTAACTATGAATCTTACTCAGTCTACTTCATGGGTGCACCGATCTTGATTTGCTAAACATCGAGTGAACTAAAGAATCAGGTTTTAAATCTTCTCAGGAAATAGTTTAGGAATGCCTGACTAATACATAAGCATATGCGTAAGAGAAGATGAAGACATTTAATTATATTATATTGAGTAGTTAGTCTAAACAGGTAAGAGAGAGACTTTGCATTATGGCTGGATTTCATATTTAGATTCAAGCCAACATTTTCTTTGTCTGAAAAACAGTGCGTATATTACTGCTACACCATATAATTGAATACTAAAAACTAAGGGTTCTGGTTCTTTTCAATTAATATTGTAACAACTGGAGAAAAAAAAAAATAAATTTGTCTGCCCTATTTACTAAAAAAAACCCAAACCCAAACCCAACCCTCTTTGGCTAGCAAAGTGAACTACTCCCAAAATTGCATTTGAAAAGGGTAGTCTAGTAAGCCAATGCTATGTTCCTTGATGCACACTCTTCAAAATGTATTCAAATTTTCCCCCCCTTTCTCAACACAGCTGCAGTTTTTCATTAATTGTGCTAGCAGTGATGCTGCCCAGTTACTTTGGTACCTGCCAGTCAGTATTTCTGAAGAGACTTCTATATTAATTTGTGAAGAAAATTGATGAATTTCTTCAAATCATTCCATCCATTGCAAAAGGTGCTAACTGAATCACAGCAGTGATGCCATACTGGGGAGTGAGATCCTTACCCACAGAGAAGTGGCTGAGTGGCCAGCTCAGGGAGGGTTACCGAACGCTGTAACGCGCACCGGTGATGCTCCCCATTAGAAAAAACCCACAAGGGGCCTAGAGAGCAGTGCTGGGCAGAACACACAGGAGAGGGCTCATGCGTGGGCAGGCCACGCAGTGGGCTGTAATTAAGCAGGCTCTGTGGTGCTATATAATGCTAGATACTCCTCCCACTACATAAAGTAGCTGGTGTTTGACTGTATACAAAGGGACATCCAGCTGCTGCACCATCCTGGTCCAAGCTGTTCAGTGTAGCATCCCCCAAAACAGTTTATGTCAAGAAAATTTCAATACTGAAAAAAGTTCCACTTTCCACATATAGCCACCTTTCAGTTACAACATACACATTTTACCATAAAGGCAGGGCCCCCGTTTGCCTCATCAGTAATTGCAGTATTTTTAAGCATGAGAAGTATATAACCCTTGCACTTTTCAGATATTCTCCATCTGTAGAGCAGATGCTGCATAATTAAGATTTGCGTTTTACTAAAATTGTCTTTAGGAGTATTCTGTGGATTATCACTCAAAATTCCACTTCAGTAGTGTTGTTATTATTATTATTATGGAACAACATCACAGATAACTGGACCATAGAAAGATGCATGCTTTTCCTGGGCTCAAAATGTTACCTAAAGTAACACTGAGACAGACCACAGGCAGACAGATCTAATACCGTCTGTGTAACTAAGGCCTATGGATCACCTGCGTAGTCCAAATCCTTGCAACTTAAATAATTAATATAGAAACTGCAATGTTGCTAAAGCGTTTTTCTTCAGATTTGTGTACATTTCAGATTTTACAGAATTTAATATCTTTTTAAATTTTCAGATGCATATGAGTTGGACTCGATGATCCTTATGGGTCCCTTCCAACTTGAGATATTCTATAAACAAAGCATCAGTTCTAAGCTAGGCAACAGCTGGAGTACACACACACACTTTGCTCCAGTTGCTGCTCGGGAGTAGCTCAACCAGTACAGAGACTGCAAATTCACCAGGCACAGAAAAAAAGGAAAGGAAAAAGTTAAATCCAATACTGGTGGTGTAGCTTTACAGAAACATCGTTTGGATTGATGTAACCACAATTTGGCACTGGAAAATCCTGTATATAAAATATTCTTACAGGATTTGGGGCACTGATGTATTTCAAAACTCAAGACTACTCAATACACCTATAAAAATCTGAATTTTCTTAATACATTGACAAAAAATGATTCAGATCACAAATTCTTTTAGAGCAGAAAGCTGATACTAAAGGAAATCTTTTGTGCAAACACTACCTGAAGAAATCTTGGTATCACTGATCACTAAACAGACTGTTTAAAGAACTCCCTCACAGAAAATCATGTTTTCTCAATGATAAACAAACAACTGGCTAGCTGAACTGTGTACTCTACAGACATGCTTGACAGTGGCATGGGACAGGTATCTCTTGAGTTACTGTTGCCCCAAGCAGCCAAGTGCACGTGTGTACACATGTCTGAAATTACAAGCACCATAGCTGCGTAAGTCAGCACGTATAGCTCACGTATATCCCTGTACTGACACAGCTAAATTGCTTTGACTTCTGAGCAGGCTTGATCAGCAGGAGCTCAAACACCCTGAAGTCCACTGCGTATCATCAGCATACACTGCATGTCATTTTAGAAAGAACCATGTTTTCCTCCTCTATTTGGTTGCCTCTGGACATTAAAGAAAAATAATTTTCAACGTTGTTCAAGGACTTCAAAAAATTAAATCCATCCACACAAAAGCACAGTACAGGTAGATCGCTAGAACAAAAGATTTGAGGGGAGATCTCAGTTTGAAAATGGGGGGAGGAGAACTAGAATATAGATTACATATAAAGGAGTAAGAGCATAATTAGAAGCCTGGACTAAAGAGTCCATAAAAAAAGATGTATTATCAGTGTAAATATACTACACAACTTAAAATGACTTTGCCATCAATACTGATTTTTCTCATAAATATTTTAGTAATTTATTCTTTTGAAATGTTGTGACAGGGAGACTCACCTCATAGCCACATTGCTTCCATCAATGACAATTGGCCTCAGGTTATCACTGTTATCCACAACTTCATCTTCAAGTGACAATTCAGGGCTTGCTATTTCCTTTGGGCAAGGGCCTCTTGGCACCAGAGTACTAGCAGTACTGCTGGCACCGCTTTGTCCCTCTGATTCGCTTTTGTTGCCAAGTCTCACAAGCTCTGCCAGAACATCATTGATGAGCGCATCTGCTCCCAATTTGTTCAGTACAGCCTGGATCTGATCTCCTGCATACCCAAGCTTTAATGCAAAATCCATTTTAGCTTGGTATTCCTTGTCCAAATTTGTTTTGCATTCGTCTAGCTTCATGTCTTGTGTGATACTGCTCTGTGAAAAACTTGGCCGATCCAAACAAGGGGACCGGCAGAGTGGCCGATGTGGTTTAGTGGAAACCTCCTTTTCTCTCCACTGAGCATTGCTACAGCCGCTTCTGAAGTACGGTTGCTCAGGTTCGCTTTCTGAGCTCGTCCATTCCTCAGACTCAGCACTGCATTCCCCAGCATCTTGTTCCACATTTCTGTCTTCTCTGGAGTGCCTCTTCTCCATTTTCAGCTTCCCTACCATAGACCAGGCCGTCATCACGTTCAGCTTCCAGCCAGAGAGCTCAGTTCTCTTTCATTTCCAAAGCCACCTGGAATTCACACTCCACTGCATTGTGTTGGCCAGTTAAAAGTTTACACGAGGCTGGAGTTAATTTGCCTTGCTTACTACGCTCTGGCATAAACAACACCAACATGAAGTTCCTTCAAAACAAAACAAAAAATTAGCTTTTTACAAATTCTGCGAAATACTTGACCACAATGAGATTGTTTACAAGTCAGTAGAGGTCCCTAGTCACTCACATTTCTGCGTAAAAAGTGATCATAATAAAGCATATAATTATGTTGTCTCTTTAATGACAAATTAAACTCGCTTTCCCTCCCCCAGTTACTCTACGTACAAAAAAAGTTATACATCCCAAACAATAAACTTACAGCTGGAATTAATGGAGTATCTCAGTAATATTTAAAGATAATAAAACAGAAACGGGTGACCCACCACCTTCACTAGAAACCTGTCTTTCCAGCCTTCTACTGCAGGAACAGCCTGTCTACATCAGGAACAACTGTGTGGGGTTCCAGTACGCACAAAGTTTAACACAAATCATTTCAGCCTCTTTCAGTAAGGGCTCACTATCAGAACTGACAAGTTAAGTTTACCACTTGGCTGTGTTAAATTTACATACTGGTAGAAACGGTAGGTATATATCCAGAATACAATGATCGTCAACTCACGTTTCCAGCGGCACTGGAAAGTACCTACCTACTAAAGGTCAATATTTTAAGAATATGTATATATTTACAAATGAGCAATTTTAGATAAATAACTTCGATTGAATTTTTATTTATTCGTGTGCTTTGTTTGCTGTGGGGATAAAGATCTTTCATATTCTGTTCAATTCACTTGAGACCGCTTAAGAGTAGCTAAGAGGGGATTACTCCCATCGTTAACTGTACAGTGGGAAAAAAAGGTTTAGAAGAAAAAAACAGAATATTCTAAAATACAGTCCTAGTTCTTATATTATGTCAAGCACAGCTGGAGACAAAATTTCTTTTGATCTACACGAGCAGCAAGATTTTCAGCTACAACTGGGCAGTTCTTAAGTAAGCAAGAAAAGTACCTAGCTTGGCCAGTAACTATTAATGGTCTCAAAATTACTCCAAACAGTGCCAAATGTAGTGACTCTCACTTGTTCATGCTCTTTTCGTGATGCACATACATGCAAACACAAAAACACACACACACACACACACACACAGAGGGCTGTTCAAAAGCCTAGTTTCCTTAGGAAATCAGCTAATTAAAGAAAATGCTAATCACTTATATCTAAAAAAAAACCTAAAAGCCCAAGTCTTGAATCAACCAACACTATTTTTTATTAAAGAAGAACCATATTCTAAGTCCTTTATGCAATATGGAATACAAACCGTTTCCTTGCATTTGAATGGAAATTCCAATGTTGATTAGTTAGGTTTATGTGAGACTTAGATTAGGTTAGATTTAGATACTTGCTCTTCTTTAATATTATGCATTCAAAGAGAATCCCTCTAAATACTTAGGTATCGTTATTATTACAGTGGTCTGTTCTCATTTGAGGTGATTTTCTCTTGCGTAGCACTAACAGCAGTATATTTACAACCCGAGTACTTGCCAAATTACATGTATCAATCAGCTTAAATTGGAATGGATTTTAATTAGCTCTCATGTATAACCTTGTACCTTGCCAAAACTAAAACAAAGGATATAAAAAATTATTATAAAAGAAGATTAAAAAAACCAGGTTCAACACACTGCACCCTCAGCTTACAAAATATTGCAACTAAGGAACACCTTACAGTACCTGCGGTAAGATTAATTTTTTCAAATTTATGACACTGTAGTGCTTTGGCACTGGACAAAGAAAAGTGTGAATCCGTTGGTCCAAGTTTAAAGACCTCCATTCTTTTTCCCAAGTTGTCATCATTTCTTTAAGTGTAATGTCACAAGAATGTTTTTGGCTTTTGTTAAACTTATCCTGCCTGTTTTTCCACCTCTAGTAAATAATCCTAACTCCTTTGCCAGTGGAAATCTCATAAGAACAATCAGCCAAAGGTTCTTAAGACTGGGAAACAGCCTTGAAAGTATGATGATGATAAAGGAGGTTGTTTAGGTTTTCAAATTTACTGTTAACTTCTCCATTGGTTTTATTTCAACAAATGACTTTCCAGAAGTAATCCACTTAAGCAAATTTTTAGAGGACCAAATTTACATTCTCTTACAAACACTTACATATTAATTTAAACTACAAGCAAAATATGTTCCTTCCCACTGGAAATGAAATCAACTGGACTGATTCAAAGCGACTCTGATTTTTTTTACAGTAATAAAATAATCTAGGTAACACTATCACTATTACTTCCACACTTAGATTTGGTTTTGGTTTTTGGTAAATGACAACTATAGAAGTTTTGCTCACAATTTTTTTTTCCCACTTTCTTAGCTAGAAAATAATATATCTTGTCTGTATATAAACTAATTTCACCATTTTGTTGCACTGTCCCAATTCCACATACATATCTCCAGTTTTCTGTTACTTAACATCATACAAGCAATTTCTCATAAATTTCACGTGTCCTTTCCTGAAAGTAAGATCTTATTTTAACAAGATAGTTGGATCATAGTCAGATCTAAATAATGAATTGAAAAAAATATTTAAAATATAAACAAAGACACTTAATTCTAAGAACAACTTCTATCACTGCTGCTGGCATACTCACTTCTGTCACGCTTAGGAAGACAGCGGCTCAGACGCTGCCTGTGTTAGGACGCACTACTGTATATCCGGAAGGACTGCTCTCTGCCAGCCCTCTGCTGTGGGTTGCTCTTCTTTGGTCGCCAGCGATAGACCGGTGGATCTGTTATGAAAGCTCGCGCGGTGGAAACACCCACTTCTCTGACTCATCTTGGAGTTTCTTGCAGGTTTTTTTTCATTCATGTCAGCCTTTGGTCGAAAGCCACTAACTAGGGAAATTTTAGCTGTCTCACCCCTCTCTTGCATAGCACTGGAAAATATTTGGTCTGTGATGTAATTATCACCATTCTCTTTCAAATATTTGAGATGGGAATCAAAAATCTACTACAAAAGAAATAAATCTCTAGTTATCTTCAAACTATTTAAAAACTATTAAAATCTCCTCTTCATATCCACCAAGGACCTTGTGAGGGAAGCACTCAAAGTCTGCACCAACTCTAGTCATTGCTACCAAGATGTATCACAGATCTGCCACAAAAAAAAGACACAATATGTAGACATTGTAACTTCGGGAAAAGCAAGGAGTTTTTCCCCAGTTTTCTTTAAACACCCGGCACACAAAGCTCATTTCTGAAGAGGCCACTTTTGTCAAATCGTTTAGATCACCTGTTTGAGCAAACTGCCAAGCTGACAGACACTGAGGCAGGCAGGCAGCTCCAGAGCCCATCGCTACAACCTCGTACGCTCTTGTACAAAGAGCTTCTAGGAAACAAGTCAGCTTGCACCGAAGCCTTCCCACCCTTAGCCCGTCGTTCCATCTGTGCAACTTAACTGTTCCACTGCATCCACAGACTTGGGACATTGTAGGATTTATTCCCAAATATTCCCAAACACATAACATTAAGATTCTCAAACAATGAGTTTCATCTCGTTGGGTCAGAAGCACCAAAACAAACCAAAAAAAACCCCAACAACAACAAAACCAGTACAGTACGGGACCAAGCTTTCTCACTGACCATTGAGAGAAGGCACCTAGGGACGAAGAAGGGTTGTGTTGCTCCTAAGCCAGCAAACACAGTGGAATGAGGAACTGAGCAAGAGAAAGCAGCAGCAGCAACTACCACTTTAACACAGCACCCTTCTTGACACCCTCCAGATTAGAAATCAGACTTGTAATACTTCAGCTACAACAACAGTGCTATGGTCTCTCCCTCATTTCTTCACAGCCCTGAACAGTCCAGTCTATACCCTACTGCAACCCCTGGAACTACCTACAGCCCACCCTTATCACTATAGATTTACTATGCATGTTCACAGGCTATGATCCAGACCCTTGTCCCTGAGCAAGCCAGCTCTCAACAGTGAGAAAAAGGCATAGCGACAGAACCCCATTACTACTAGTCCTCCAACTGCAGTTGTGTTTTCTTTAAATAAATCTGCAGCCCTGTTCTGGAGCCCAGGATCACTACGGTACAGATAGTATCTTTTTTCAGTCAGTCAGTATTTTGATCTAACCAGCCTGTCAGTCACTGCCTTTGTCAATACCAGCGATGCAGATGTAATCAGTACCACCACTCTGAAAAGGGTCCGATGCCCTGTTCTTTGGAAGCTGAGTGCTCTGCTCTGTACCACTATGTCTGAAACCATATTTAGTCCCAGTTTATTTCTGACTCCCTGTTAAGTACCTCCACTTGCTATCATTACCTCTCTACCTACAGTGGGGCAAGCATTCAGCATATTATCCCTTCTTAGGGACCACAAAGTTCTCCTTCAAATAAAGGAGCCGTCTACTACGTAGGCATATCAGGGAAATAAGTTCAAAGCACTTGAGCTCAGTGACTTGAATTCACCCTCTGTCTCAACTGTAGAACTGTCTCCTTTGCAACAGTCAAACTAAAGAAATTGCTGATTAAAAACTATGAAGTACAGTTAAAAGAAAATTGATGCTGCCTGTAAATAAAGAGCGACTGAGATACCGACCAGATTCTATCTTGCTACCTCAACTACAGGGAGGACCCAGTGAAGAAGGGCCCACTGCTCTTTACAGCGTCTCACAGGGAAGGTAAAATACTGTCAAGCAAATTCAAGGTTAACATTTTATCTTAAGTCAAGTTCAAGTCCTCTGTTTTTTACTGTTCTTACAATTCCTAATACATTTCTGAGCAAGTTTTGAATTTTTTTATTAAGCTTTTATTAAGTAGCTGGTCTTGCCTTCCCCTCACTACCTCTTCAACCAAAGTGAGGTCCTTCCTTCACTGTTTCTACCTCTTGCCACTGAAGCCTAACTTACGAATTTTAAAACACATTC